AGAGGTAGCTGGACTGGAGAGGTAGCTGGACTGGAGAGGTAGCTGGACTGGAGAAGTAGCTGCAGTCTTTCAAGGGGTCAAGTTCACTTACCTGCGTGCATGGGTATGTGGAAGAGCAGCGCGACTGACAACTTGTCAGAGCCATGTTTTTCTTTCACTGAGGTGTACCTACTTCCAAAAAGGTGTCAGCCGGGGTCTGAGTACCTCATGCAAACCCATTGACCTCTGTTCCTTGGACAAACCTTTGTCGTCCCACGTGTCTTCGTCCGCTGTCGCGGTCCTCACCGGGTCCATGTACGGTGGCATCTTCGTTTCGTGCCAGAAGCGAGACCGGTGTTGCACGCGAGCTCCGTTGATGCCCGTATATTGTCGGATGGCTCGAGCTTCTGCCGATATGATCTCCTCTGCCGTTGGGAAGCATGGCATGGGTCTGCTGCTCTCGGGGAAGAGTCTTGCGTCGTCGAAGAAGACCCAGGCTCGCTGGCGGTAAATTTGCATCTGCCTGTGCAATTGCGTTCCGAGATTCTCGTCGATCCGATTGCCACCACCTTTCACTAGTGCCATTGATAAGCGTTCCTCCTCGTCCGTTGTGTTGGGTATCAGTTGAAGCAAACGCTGACAGAGGGCTGGGCTGTCTGGCCACGAGAGATCGGGAGTTGCGGATAGGGGGTTAAGCCAGGGCGACAGGCCGCAAGTCCTTGTCCACCTCAACCATCTCGCCAGTCCGTGGAACAAGCCGCGCCCATGACGAGGCTCGCTGGAGACGCCCTCGCATTCATCTAGCAAGCTCGTGATCAGATCAAACCCAAACGCTGCAAGGGTATCTGCCATGTATGGACTGACGCTCGGGTGCAGATCCATGTCCTCGGCGTACTGCTGGACGCCGAAGAGAACGTTGTCTGGGAAAACGAGCTGGGTGCAGTCTGTCGGCAGCCAAGCGTTGGACGATCGTGCGAAGAGAGCGCCGTACAGCGAGCGTATGTATTCAAACACGCATTGCAGTGTCTCCGCTCGCCACGGCGAGACCGTACGGCCGCCACAGCGTTCCAAGTGCTTGAAATTGAATCTGGGTGTAGATCGGGAGAAGCAATTGATCTTGCACAGAAGTTCGTACTCAATGAATGCTGTCATCAGTCGCTCAGATTCGCTGGACAAGAGGTCTTTCATCTGAATGGTATGTTCCTTCCGAGTCTGTGGTATGGGCGAGGGGGTGTCGAGGTAAGCTCGCGCAGGGAACGATGAGGTTGCCTTGCTGATGTAGTCCTCGATGTAGAACTTCAACTTCTCACAGAAGCGTTTCAGTGCGCACAGAGTCTGCTCGTCGCATGCTGTTTTGCCGATTTTGCCGGAGGCCCATGCTTCGAGGTGACGGTCAACGATCTTGGGATCACCATCGATGGCCTCGGGACTGGGAAATTGAACAATGGCAATTGCGTCGTTCAGAAGGGTGCCAGACAGCGGAAGGGCGAGGGATGGGTGGGAACACATGGTCGGGAAGTTCGTTGAGCAGGTGACAGAGGAAAGGTGGGCAAGTGATGAGGTAGAATGCTGAGTTTCGTCGTCATGTCTCTGCTCGTTCGGAGGGAACTACTGCAGCATACTTATAAGGGGGAGGCCCTCCTTCTGTGGATGAAATCAGCCACCTCAAAGTTAGGAAGGTAGCAACGACTCATGAAGCCACAAGCAAAGGTATGTGGACGTGGCGTGATGAGAAGACTCATGTGGCGGGGCCTTGGTCCTACTACAGACCGTGGCATCGTGACTCAACGGAGATTTGCTGTCAGCGACACCTCCCCATTGATTTGCTAACATGGTACCGCCCATCTGAAGGCGACAGGCTTGCCTTGTTGCCAATCCACGGGCTCCGGTTGTGCCCTATCTTTCAAACAATCGTGATTTCCACAGCCTCGGCTTTCGCAAAACCAAGACTCGAATCGATCTCGGCATCCATGGAGTACCAGGCCTCAAGGACATCATCAGTTTCCGAGGCTGGCCGACTCTCCTCATCGACGGAGATCCTTTCAGGGACCCTCAACCTTCCGTTCTTCCTGTCATACCCCTTGACCAAGACTTCTTTCGCCTTCTCCCACTCCTCATTTTCGGACTTACCATCCACCACCGCCACCGCCTCGCCGCCTCCATGGACCTCAACCCTCCTGTAACGCATCGGGAGCATGTACTCGGCAGAGACCTCCAGCCACCCGACGCGCCGAAACACCATTCCCTGGTCATCCCCCTTTTCAGCCGGCAGCAGCAGCAGCCCGCTCGCGGTCCCCGACGTCGGGTCAATCCCTTCGCGCACGTCAATCGGAAGGAAGTAACATGTGACTTCCGGCACATTTCCTTCCAAAACCGAGACCTCGTCGAAGGAGTAATGAAAGTCGGCCGCATGGAGAAAGTCATTCTCCCGAGGATCCTCGTCGGCATACGGGTCCCGACCGTTCATCGGCATCCCGGCCGTGATCGTGCGCCGCGACCCGTGGATGTCGAGTTGGTGCATGACCATACCCCCAACAGCCATGTAATGCCATGGCTTCTCTTCATAATCAGGGCGGATCGTGACCTTTCGGAGGAAGCCCCTGACTTTGAGGGAGGCTCCCGTGATCGCTCCCGTGGGTGCCGTGGGCACCTCAAGATCCACGTTGCTTTCGAGGATCTCCACGATGCTTCTCCTGTCACCTTGGCCTGGCTGCATCTCGTGGACTGGCCCGTCAATGGACACCCATGACCAGGATGGGCCGACGTAGATGTCGCCGCCGACGCGAGTCCCACTCCCGCCGGTAGCTTTCCACAGCAGGGAATGAGGGAGCGTAGACTCCCATACCCCGGCGATGTACCGATCTCCAGCTAGGACGTCCGAGAACTCCCTCGCCAGTCCAGAAAGCGCGACAAGCTTATCGCTCATATGGCTGAGGCTCTTGGTCGAATACTGCTCGCAGAGCCCGACCCAAGACTCGTGCACCTCCCTCAGCGGCATGTCTCCCAAAGATCCGCGGCTTTGTACCTTTGGTTGACCAGAGAAGTCCGACCGGAAAAAGGGAAACCCATTCGGGTACGTCTCGGAGGCGAAGGAATTGCCGGCAGCGCAGCACTCCCACTCTAGCTGGGTATCGGCAAAGTGCAGCACTCGCCTCGATAACTGGCGCTCCTGGAAGACCCAGCCGCGCTCGGCGATGGGAGACGCGGTGATGGATCGAAAGACGTCAGGCTCGTCGGCGGCGATCATGAAGGCCTTGCCTGCGGCGGGGAGCTGGACGTGCAGCGGCGTCGTCATGGATGGCTGGCGGGGCTGGAAGCAGCCGCCGCGGGCGTCGCGGGAGCCATCGGCTGAGATGTTGAGGAGGGCGTGCTTGTAGACGTTGCACATCTGCGCGGCCTCGGTTTGCCAGTCTTCCCTGCTGTCCTGGATGATGCAGAATGAGTCGATCCAGAGCCATTTCACTGCGGTGCATGTCAGCTTCGGATGGTGTTAGGTGACAGGGGGGGACTTGCCGTTGAACCATGAGCAGACCAAGACAGCGTCATGGAACGTCTTTGGAAGCAGATCCATGCTGATGCCGGTCGTCTCTCTCTCCGAGATGTTCTTCGTCGTCAGCGACGGGAGGCCTGTGGTCCCCCACTCTCCCCAGCAATGGCTCAGGGTGATGAACTCGTCGCTATTGCCAGAGATGCCAGTTTTTGAGAATGACGGGCGCGATACCAGCTTGAGAGACTGGTTCTTGATGGCGCCCTCGACATCCAGAAGGCGGGTGGGCATGTATCCTCCCGTGACCTGGTTGCATTGATTGTGGCTGCCGTCCTTGTTGGCTCGACACCGGTTCAGCCACCTGACTGCAAGCACTCGGGAGGATTCGGTGGTCTGATGCTCCTCGCTACCTTCGGGTATGGGGTAAATATAGTCAAGGATTCTTTCCGCCCGGCTTTGAAGCGACGACTCCTGACGAACCTCGAGCTTGTCAAACAACGTGGCCAGGCTGTCCGCGTCGGGCCCACGGTGGAAGGCTTCATACTTTGCAGAGTCCCAGAGACGCAACCTCTGGAATACCCAGTACTCATCAGTGGATCGGGGCTCGTTGGTTTTGACGAGAGCAAACTGCAGCTGCCGGGCTTGACCTGGGCCTTCTTCGCCGTCGGCGACATCGTCGGATCCGGGGGTTCTGTGCCAGACCATCTCAATGGCCGTTTCCTCTAAGACGCGGTGGCCGAGGTCCTTGTACCGATACAGACTCTGGAACAAAAGGTCGCCAAGGTGGCAACCGAGAGACAAGCTATGCAGGAACTCGGTCTGATTCTGATGGAGCGTGATGGCGCTTGGCGGGAGGTTCTCATCTTGTCCCTTGGTCTCGGTCAGGTCGACGTAGTAAGCGTAGTACTCGAGCGCGATCCGGCATCTCTCGCACAGCGGAGTTGACGTGGATATGGGCGTGGCGTGACTTGGGTCTGGTGTCGCGGGTGGCGGCCTGATGGGGAAACGCCTTTCTGCCGTGGGATTGTTGAGGTCTACTAGGACCAGTGTGCCTGCGTTGGGGAACGAGGCGGCGAAATCTCGAGGATTGAAGGACATGGTGAGATGGTGACGCTGGCACTTGAGATGTCTGGGAGTTGTCGTGTGTCGTGGGCTGCCGGTGTGGTGTTTCTATTTCCGTGTTGCTGCAGCCAAGTACGTCGAAAAGCCCTCAGGGGCTGCACCCCGACAGGATTCGGGTGGTAGGCCCGAGGCGCAGTTCATCCTGGGATTCAACCCCGCATGCAGACGCGGTCAGCACGAGGATTGCCATTCACCCTGTCCAGACTGTGGCGAAAATAGGGGGCGCGTCGATCTAGGTCCCATGCGCTGTCGGAATCCAGGGAGCTCACGAGGCGATCGCGGTGTTGGATGTCATTGCCGGGGACCCTTCGATTGCATGTTCCAGGTTGTGCTCGACTATGCTGCAAAAGTAAAGCTTAGAGCGAGAAATGAGGGAATGAGCGGCGTTCTAGGTGGAAAGTGCAAAAATAATTGACTCGAGGGAGGCTCGATCTCCCGACCTTCAGTGTGTTAGACTGACGTGATAACCAACTACACCATCAAGCCAATTGATGGGAGATCAAGGAGAGTTACACAACATATCGGAAAGTCTTGTTGCATGCTTCACTGTCATCGCAGCTGAGGAAGCAGTAAATGCGAGAGAAAGCTTGGTATTAATCGTACAAGCACAATTGCATCTTGAAGGCCTTGGCCGAAGATCAAAAGCGACGTATGTGGCGCTGTCTCTCCTCAAACTTCACTGTCGAAACCGTTGTGGGTGGCGCGGCCCCCAAGGTCTGCCCTGTGCCCCTCAAACACCAACATATTGTGCCAAACAACAAAAAGTCTTCCTCCACATCGCTACTTCCTCCAGGGACAACTAATCATGGACCCCGCCGGTCATCTCCAAAATCCATTGGACGACATCGTTCGATGAGCGATGCTCGCGACCAACGGCCTCCCAAAAAGCCTGCCCGCCCCGGGGCAATATCCCATCCCGTCAACGGCCGGCGCCTGCGTGCTGACGCCCTCGGCCGTCAGCAGCGCCTCACTGCTCACTGGCATTGGCATGCCCACATCCCCTGTCGCCCGGCGGCAAGTGCTGACCGCCCACGCGGGTCAGCGCACCGCCTCAGCCCAGTCGACGGGGCTCGGACGACATCTGCTGGCATGCCGGCCGAGTACGTCCAATCTCCCCCCTCCCGCCAACCACGATACGGCTCAGTTCGGTACCTACGCGAACCCAAGATCTTGGCAGACCACTGCGCTGCCTGACGGCTGACCGTCATCTCACGGGGGGCCAGCTCGATGTACCGCGCGCGGCGGCGGAAACGAGCATACATCTCCAGTCTTGTTCCTGAGTGGCCGGCCTCTCCGAGGCCTCGCCTGAACCCTGCCGACGGTTTCTCGGGATAGGGGCCAGCCGGCTGGCTTGGACGTTGCGGGGGCCATGTGTGCTGACCACCTGCTGGCGAGAAGAGAGGTTCAGAAGCCGCAGAAACCTTCCGGAACACACCGCCGATCCTGGCCCTGGAGCGGATGCCCACGAATAGCGGCATGGCCTCCCTTGAGTCGGGGCCATGCTGCCTCTGCACCCTGCAGCCGTGTCAAGGATGCCTCTGATCAGCTCCTGTTGGTGTTTGCTGGCATGGCCGGAAATGGTGAGATAATTCGAGGTGCAAGATGAGATCTCACGGTGCTCATCTCGCTCGAGTCGCTATAAAGCAGCCTTCGATCCTGCCGTGTCACCATCGATGGGCCTTTGAAGCCAGCAAGCACACTGCTCCCTCATCAGCAGCATGTTGTTTCTACCCACGGTTCTTGGCCTTCTGGCTTGGGGCGTCGCTGCTGAGAAGTGCGCAAAGGTCTTCGATCTCACGCTGACATGGGAGACCCGCGCACCTGATGGCCACAAGAGGGAGATGATCCTCGTCAACGGACAGTTCCCGGGACCAACGCTGGAGCTTTCCGAGGGGGACGATGTTGAGGTCATTGTCCACAACAAGCTGCCTTTCAACACGTCTGTTCACTTCCACGGTATGTTACCCCTGATATGCCGTCCTCAACCAGTTTGCTGACCCCTCCCCTCCAGGCATCGAGATGCTCCACACGCCATGGTCCGACGGTGTTGCCGGCCTCACGCAGCGACCTATTACCACCGGCTCGACCTTCTCCTACAAGTGGAAGGCCACCCAGCATGGAAGTCACTGGTACCACGCCCATCTGAAGGGCCAGGTCGAGGACGGACTGTACGGGCCCATCATCATCCACCCTTCCAAGAAGCGCTCCAACCCCTTCGGCCTCATCTCGAGCGACCCTGCAGCCATCCACGCCATGAAGAGAGCCGAGAAGAAGGCCAAGCCTGTGGTGCTCTCCGATTTCCGGCACATGACCTCGGCAGACGTGTGGCAGGTTGCCAATGCCGCCAACATGGAGCTGACGTGTTACGATGCCATCCTCGTCAACGGCAAGGGCAGCTCCAAGTGTCGTAGCGAGGAGGAGATTGAGTCGCTTCTGACCCCGGAGCAGAGATTCCTCCTCAGCCTGGTCAACCTCCCCATGACGGACAAGGCGTGAGACACTTTTCCCTCTTAACTTGCCTTTTACATCATGCTGACCCATGCAGGTGCATTCCGGCCGAATTCATCTCGCAGGGTGTCGGCGATATCACCAAGATCCCCCCGGGCGTGTTCAGCGGCTGCAAGGAGTCTGACGGCGGCGAGTCGGTCATCGAGTTTGAGACGAGCCGCTGCGACGGTGACGAGCATTGGGTGGCTCTGGACCTGATCGGCGCCTTCGGTTTCGTGACGGCCATGGTGTCCCTGGATGAGCTACCCATGTGGGTGTACGCTGTCGATGGTGATTACGTCCTGCCGCAAAAGGTCAACGCCATCCCTGTGACCAACGGCGACCGCTTCTCGGTTCTCGTCAAGGTCGACAGGACCGGCGACTTTGCGCTGCGCGTCGCCTCCCTCGCTGCCCCTCAGATCCTCAGCGGCCGTGCCACTGTCTCGATCCGCAGCAAGAGCGAGCCAGACGGACCTCCCCCGGTCAACAGCACGGAGGTGTCGCCGCCTTTTATTCTCGACAACGGCGCTCCGACATCCCCTGACGTGCTCGTCTTCGTCCAAGACCTGGCCAAGCCGTTCCCTCCCTCACCTATCCCGAAGAGCGCCGACGCATTCTATCACCTGACGATGCGCATGCTCGGTTCCTCTCTCTCCTGGTCTGTCGACGGTACTGCCCTACTGCCTGGCGATCATGAGTCCGACACCCCCTACCTCTTCTCCCCGCCGCCCAGCGACCCGGGCATCACGGGCATCTCGACGCGCGCAGGCGACTGGGTGGACCTCGTGTTCGAGACGGCCGCGGCGCCGATGCCGCCGCACCCGATGCACAAGCACGGCAACAAGATGTACCGCATCGGCGGCGGGGAGGGGCATTTCGAGTGGGCGAACGTGGACGAGGCAGTGGCGGCGAGGCCGGAGCTGTTCAACCTCGTGGACCCGCCGCACAGGGACGCGTTTGCGACGCCGGCGGCGTCTGAAGGCGTGGCGTGGATGGCGGTCAGGTACCATGTGACGAACCCGGGACCGTGGCTGCTGCATTGCCATATCCAGAACCACATGTCGGGAGGTATGTCGATGGTGATCTTTGATGGTGTTGATGAGTGGCCGGAGGTTCCGGCGGAGTATCTGGGCGCGGGGCCACAGTAGTGGGGGGAGACTTGAATACTGGTGTTTGGATGCACGGGGGAGGTAGCATGGCGGTCGTCTGCTTAGAGAAGTATTCGACTGTGTTACGATGCAGCAGCAAGGAGCGAATTTGATGAAGTAATTAATTATTGTATGAGTTTGCCTAAGCATGCTGATGCCCGCCTGCCAAATGAGTGTCGAATGAAGCCAGAAAACGCCGCTGTCCTGCCATGCTGCCCAAGTCTAATATGCCTCGTCCCTATCATGATCCTGCCCTTAGAGGCCGCAAGCAGAGATGGCGACCTGGGTAGCCTGGGCATCGACGCGACCCAGGGACACGGCCTGGCCGTTGGTCAGGGCGTTCATCGCATCGAGAGCAATGTTGAAGCCGGAGCCGGCATGGTCGATGGCGAGGATGTTGATGCTCTTGCCGTTGTAGGTGAGCTGCCAGCAGGTGCCGCACTGGTCGGAGCCCCAGCCGGCGATGGCGTCGGCGCCGCCGATGTAGGGGAAGTTCTTGACCTGGCCCTGAGTTTGCCAGCCGTAGCGGGTGATGAGGCCGTTGGTGCCGTCAGAGCAGCTGACGGAGGTGAGGGAGCGGGAGCCGTCGTCGTAGCCGGTGTCGTAGGAGACGGAGGCGGCCGAGGCGACGGCGGTGAGGGAGAGGGCGGCGAGGATGGAGGAGAGCTGCATTTTGGTGGGAGGAATGGAGAATTCGGTTTGAAGAGGGTGTTGTGGGTTGTTGTGGTTGTTGGATGTGGTGATGAAGTGTGAGATGAGTGTGTGTGATGAGATGCTTCTTCCAACACCACCAGACGTCCACTTCCCTCTTCCTTATATACACAGCTCGAGGCATCTAGTTCCAGCCTTGACTTGGCAAACATGACGTTGACGAACCACTCTGACGACCTCACGCCTCCATCGTCCCCGCAGGTCACCTCAGTTCCTGTCGTGGCATGTCCGGGAAGGGATCCATGGCGGAGTGGCCGCGAGACTCCATCGCCGGCCCGAGGGCGTTGTGTCGTTGGACGGAGCGGGCTCCCCGCGGCCCGCCCGGACAGTTTCCAGGTTACGCCGGTGCTCGTATTGGCAGCAGATCCTCTGGGAGCGTCCTTCGACAGCCCCGCGGTCGGTCTAGTGCCGGCACATGGCGGGCGGCCCTCGTGTTGGGAGGAGGCCAAGGCCCAAGGCAAGAGGGCCCCCGGACGACGCCTGCGCCTAGCGCTTGCAACGTGACACGGGCGGTGCTGGTTCCGGCAATGAGGGACTCTTTTGGCCCACGTTTTCCTCCACCGCTAGCATAGGGTGAGGCTGGTCAGGTCACAGGTGGCAGATTTGGTGGTTGGTCCCCGGACTTGGACGATGCTAGGCCGGGGACAGCTCGTTGCTTTGTCTCTGGACATAACGTACGCAGCCAGATGGGGGATGACAGGAGAGACAAAGAAGCCACCAACGGTTTCCATGAATAGACCTGGAGTCGGGAAGCAGGCGATAGGCGAAACTGGGGCGGCGGGGAGCTGAGCACAGCACGGGCACCCTGCAGTTCTTCACCGCCCCTGTTCAGGCCATCTTTCTCCCCACAACATCACCAACCTCTTCATCCCATCGCCGACGATCTTCAAGCCGACACGAGCGACACTTCGACGGAGGAACAGGGCCAAAGAATGATTGGATCGATGAGCCAATTGAAAAGGTCTGTCGGTCGACCCCTGGTCAGGACTCACTGGCGACAGAGTAGTGATGGAGACCCTGCGGTTGCTGTCGTCTTCAGGTCTCCCTCTCCCTCGGCGCTCGGCATAGGCGATCGACACGCTGTCTTGGCGAACGAGGTCCAACGGGGCCCTCTTCTCACGATAGAACCACAGTCCCGCA